ATAACACAAAAAACATTTAAATTCAATTTCCAAACAAAATTAAAGAAGTAGTATTCTCAAGACTTTTTATTTTTAGATAAGTACTAAAATGTAAATTGATAAAAATAATTATTTATTTTTTCTTTTTAAATAGTATTATTTGTAAAGTGAATATGTACGTATTCTTTCGGTAATTGAAACTAACTCACTTCTTGAAAAAATTGACCAAACAATAATTATTTTCGAACGCTAACAACAATGATTTGATTTTCAAATGATTTTTCCAAATATAAATTGTAAAAACTCCTAAGCACTTCATTGGAAAAAAAAAAGAAATAAAAACTTTTAGAAATAAGTTGTTTTTTTGTTTGATCACGTGAGACAAAATTATAATACGAATTCATATGAGTTTAAATTAAAGTTTTATTTGGACATATAATTTAATTTTTAAGTTAGGATTGTTACTCATAAATATAAACATTCCATAAAATTATGAAAGCTATTAAAATTTTCCGATATACACGATCTTACCAAGTAAATAAATGTATAAGTACAATAAAACAAAGCTATTTTTTTAAAAATAGAATATTTATTGATCAAACTTTAGTTCAATAAAAAAGAAAAATAACATGAATTATAGTGTATATTCGTTAATATAATTTCCTCACATAGTACAAACAATCTCCTCACATTGAAAGTGCATTTCTCAATATAAATGATTTAAAGCTTAATAAAAAGTAATAATATCAATTTAAAATTTTGTTTACCATGAAGAAAATGATTGATAACTATAAAACAGTGATTTTGTAAAATACAAAATACAAACTTATAGGTAAATTTTTGTATTTAAAGATGTAAAATCTATCCTGAAATTTTCAAATCAAGCTTTTTAGATTATTTGAGATTTCATCTCATGATTTCAGAGATGTTATAGCACATTCAAACGCTCAAATTTCATCTCATAATATCAAATCACGAAATAAAAGCATATGCCAAAAACATCTACATAAAGCTTCACCAAAAAGTCTCAAGCTTTAGTGGTGAGGAGAAACAACTTTATTGTGCTCTTTTTTCCCCCGCTGATTGTGCTGTAAATTAAATTAGCCGTTAAAATATTCAAGGTCGATGGATAATCTATGATTAGCTTTATATAGTTACCTTTATGTTTTTAAGTTCATTGAAATATATTGACTAATCTATGCTTATTAGTCCATGAGATTTTGATTTTCCTTGATGACGAAGACAACAAGATGGAGATTGATTTGAAAGCTAAGCTATTGAATATATAAATATAGAAAAAGCAAAAAGCCTAAAAACAATCATATAAGAGAATGCTGGAATTCTAAGCATGAAGTATCCTATGCATTATTGTTTGTGGTCATAAATAGGAAAAAAGTTGAAATAAAGTTGGGAGAAAAATGATTGAATAACAGTTCATTAATTCCCTAAATTGCAGCCAAGAATGTTGGGGGGAAAAAATAAGTTGATGCAGTTTTCGTATAGAATTCTCCAAAGAAATATTATTTTTGAAAAATCTAATACGTACCTATTGATACTTTTGAAATATCAAATCTAACATAGAAAAAAAAATATACTTGCAATACTGGTTAAAAAGTGATGTTATGGTAATTTTCAATAGTTAAAGGTAATATACTATACATACTACTTAATTATCTACGTCGAATATTTGCACCTAATTAAAATAATTAAGTTTTACAATCAATAAAGCTAAATCAAAATACACATCACTTGTCCATAGTTAAGTGCTAAAAAATGTATATCAAAAAATATGTATTTGACATTTATTTATTTGATGTAAATATTTGTCGCAAGTTTTTACTGTAAATGATATTTTTTAACTTGAAAATTAACATTAAAGGAAATTACAATTAAATAAAAGTTAATTTAAATCTTTATGATAGGTTAAGAGTATTTTTGACCAATGAGAATTTGGGGCAACGGTTATGATTGAGTATACTAAGAACAACAACTATCATGTATGGACTGCATGAAATTAGACACTATTTCACGTATTGTCTCTCATTTTTCTTTGTATAATAATAAAAGACGTGCTTATCAATGGAGACAACAGCTATCATCATTAATCATTGCTCTCTACTCTCTACTACTCATTTCCATGTGGTATCAACCACGACCTCTCCCTTTGCTTTGATATCATATTAAAATGTGTAATTATTTTATTTAAAAATTTACTCTACTAGAAAGAACTTACATTTTTTATTATGCAATTATATTCTCAACAATTCTGACCACTCTAGTAGTTGATCCTTGTAGAGTCACACCACCAACCGGTGCATGGACAATAACTTAAGTACGAATAATATAACGTGGTATCCAAATAAGGAAAAAATTGATTTTGATATCATATACATAGAGGCGGAGCTAGGTGGAGGTTTATGAGTTCGGATAAACTCATTAGTTTTTCCGCAGATTCTATATTTGTATTAAAAAATTAAATAACTATATGTATAGTAACATGTGAAAACTCACCAACATGGGTTCTGATACACTGGTGAGAGTGATTCACCCTTAACGAGAGTTCTCGTGTTAGAGCCCTGAGTATGAAGAAAATCTTGTTGGGAGAGCCACCCCCGCATGAGCCCTATAATGCTCGATCCGAATTTAGTCGAAGCTCCAACGTGGGCTCCGAACACCGGATGGCAAAAAAAAATGTGAACCCCAAAAAAAATTGGTTTTAGAACCCCAAACTCCTCACCTTGGTTCCACCTTTGCATATGGAAAATGTTCACATATGTTATTAAACTTTGAGAAAAAGAAGGTTTATGTTATTAATTAGTAGTTGGGGTACCATTATCTTTTAACTGTCAGATTTTGTGGTTTTGTAAAATCATTTTTCTACGTGGTCCCTTACTAGAGGTTCACACCACCAAAATTAAGAAAAATATGTCATCAAACTTTAAGAAAGATTGATCGATGTCATTCATTAATAATTGAGTTCAACTGTGATAACTCAAACACTAAAACTAGCTCTTGCAAAAAGGATTTCCAAAATTCATTCCGTCTTTCCTTAGTCAATATGAGACTCTAACTGTCCCTATGATCATTTTCCCGTTAACACATTTTCAAAGACTATCAAAATCACATCTTAACCTTTACTCAACTCTGTCAACAAAGCAACAGAAAAAGAAAGTAGAAAAGGACTTCTTGTCTTCTCTTTTTTCCCTACTCACTTCCTCTCTTCTTTTCCTCCCCTGCAACTTCTTCCTCTGCTTCAATGGAGCTGCATTGGTGGTACTATTCTTGGTTCCTTCTATCTTCTATCTTCATCAAAGTTGCTTTTTGTGATCCTGAAGGTACGCTTCAGAGGCAGATACAAGATTTAAACTTACGAATTCAACCTTTAAACATTCTTATATTGTACTTCTAAAATTATGACTACAAAATGTACTATTCCATTTTATCTCTTGATTTTACTTCTTCAAACTCTTTTTTTCTCCCTTATGTAAATTTGAAATTATATTTACATGTATGTCTGTGTTCAACACATGTGAACTCATAAACTTTAAATCATGAATCTGCCATTGTCAGTATGCATTACATTGAAAGAAAATAGAAGAGGTTTTAAGATGATAGGTTGCTTATGTTGTGAAATGTGCAGGATTCTTGAGCTTGTCTTGTGGTGGAAATACTACTTATGTTGATTCCTCCAACATTACATGGACACCAGATGGTGCCTATATCTCAGCTGGTAACATGACCACTGTTGATTTTATAGAGGGTTCCTCTTCGTCTACTCTCCCAATTAGGTTCTTTCCTGATTCGCCACGTAGAAAATGTTACAAGATTCCAGTGAAGAATGTGTCATCCCTTGTCCTTGTCAGGACACAGTTTGTATATAAGAATTATGATGGACATAATAAGCCACCTGCATTCTCTGTTTCTCTTGGGAGGGCTATCACAACAAATGTCAATCTTACGCATACTGATCCGTGGATCGAAGAGTTCATATGGCGAGTTGATAAAGACATTCTGTCTTTATGTTTTCACTCTCTTCAAGGTGGTGGATTTCCAGTCATTTCATCCCTTGAACTTAGGCCACTTCCTCAAGAAGCTTACAGCAATGCCTTGGGAGATTTTCCCGATAAGTTGCTGAGGAAATGTTATCGTATCAACTGTGGTTATAATTGGCCTTTGAGGTCTGAACTAACTCTCACTTGTCAATGATGTTATGTATGACTTATCGCTTGTTTAGTCCTTAGTTTCTGTTGTTTTTTGTGCTATGTAAAAGGTATCCGATTGATCAGTATGATAGAATTTGGGATGGTGATGAGGATTTCAGCCCATTTCATGTGTCTTCTGGTTTTGATATTCAAGCCAATTTCAATGTGTCGGTTCTGAAAGAGGGCCCTCCTGTAGCTGTTCTTCAAACCGGAAGAGTTTTGGCACGGTGGAATGATATGACATATAAATTTCCTATTGATCACCAAGGAGATTACCATATTGTTCTCTACTTTGCTGGGATTCTGCCTGTCTCCCCTTCATTCGATGTATTGATAAATGAGGATATCGTTCAATCAAACTACACAGTTAATCGATGGGAAGTCAGTAGTCTGTTCTTTACAATGAAAGGAATCGAGAGCTTGAACATCACATTGAAGACTGTCCACTACTATCCATATATCAATGCTCTTGAGGTTTATGAGATCCTAGACATTCCCTTAGAAACTTCTTCAACAACAGGTTCTAATACAGTTTTATTGATTTTTCGACCTTTAAACGAGTCTGTTAGAACCAGTCAGACCAACTTTTGACATTTTTTATGCTTGCAGTTTCAGCCCTACAGGTTATTCAGCAGTCAACTGGTCTAGATCTTGATTGGGAAGATGATCCATGCTCTCCTAAATCATGGGAACACATAGAATGTGAAGCAAATCTCGTAACTTCATTGTATGTCAGTTGACCCGAGAACAACGTTTTCCTTTTCTTTTCTTTCTCTTGGTCTTATTTTTGTTAAGAGCAGAACATAATAAAATTAAGACTTTATATAGGGAGTTTTTTGATGTAAACTTGAGGTCAATCAGCCCAACATTTGGTGACCTACTGGATCTCAAATCACTGTAAGATCAGTCTTAACAACTTACTTAAGAGCCACTGTTTGGCTATCTTGGCTTACTTATTTGAGGTTCCACTTGTTGCAGGGATTTGCATAATACTTCACTTGCTGGAGAGATACAAAACATCGGCAGCCTGCAACATCTTAAGAAGCTGTAATACTTGATCTCGAGGAATTACCATGTTAAGTTAAAGTACTTGAGAGAGCATCGTCTAAAATAAGTTGTGTTCTCTCACCTTTGCAGGAACTTGAGCTTTAATCAACTTACAGCTTTTGGTTCAGAGTTAGAGGACTTGATAAACCTTCAAATTTTGTAAGCCTCACTGTTTGCATTTAGATAGTGACTTCCTTCATTCTTCCTAGCTAGTCCTGTTCAACAAATTTTAAAATTAATGTGTTTACTGTTGAAGGGACTTGCATAACAATAGTTTTCAAGGAACAGTACCCGAAAGCGTTGGAGAACTGAAGGACCTCCACTTGCTGTGAGTGAGGAAAATATATCTGGCATTTTGAACTTCTTAAAGTACTTCAGCTGATGAATTGTTCTAATTTACCCCTCTGCAACATTCAGGAACCTAGAAAACAACAAGCTGCAAGGTCCCCTGCCACAATCTTTGAACAGAGAGAGCTTACAAGTCCTGTATGAAATCAGAAAGCCTTTTTTGTTTTTTGTTTTTTGTTTTTTGCTTCTCATGTCAGTTTCTCGGCTTATAGTTTTCCCCCTTTTTGCAGATCATCAGGAAATCTGTGTCTTTCCTTCACTATGTCTTTATGCAATGAATTCTCAAGAAATCCTACGATTGAGACACCACAAGTCACTGTCTTTGCACCCACAAAGCACAAGCGCCATAATAGATTCATAGTTATAGTTGGTGCAGTTGGAGGAGCTGTGTTTGTTCTATTCATTGTCTTCATATCAGTATTATTGTACATGAGGCGAAGAAAAAGTGGAGATACATATGCATCAAGTATGAAAAAAGTCAACTTTTCTTTAACATTTCAGGATATTGATCAATCTAGTTCTAAACATGCACATTTTTCTAATTATAGGAACTGCAGCAGAAATGAAAAACTGGAATGCTGCAAAAGTATTTTCATACAAAGAGATCAAAGCTGCTACAAACAACTTCAAAGAGGTTATTGGGCGTGGTAGTTTTGGATCTGTTTATCTTGGGAAGCTTCCTGATGGTAAACAAGTTGCTGTCGAAGTTCGATTCGATAAAACTCAATTAGGTGCTGATTCTTTTATCAATGAGGTTCGTCACTATACCCATGCTAGTTCAGTTCCAGTCTACAAAGAAAAAAGAGATTTAAGAGCTCTCTTTGTTATCTGTAGGTATCCCTTCTATCACAAATCAGTCATCCAAGTCTTGTTTCGTTAGAAGGATTCTGCCATGAATCAAAGCAACAAATTCTAGTTTATGAGTATTTACCTGGAGGATCACTGGCTGATAACCTTTATGGTACATCACACATGATTCACCCATATTCACACTTTAAATCCATCATCCTCTTCTTTCACATATTGTTTTCTAACTCTTAATAACTGCCTTAGGAGCAATGAGCAAGAAATTGACACTAAGCTGGGTGCGCAGACTGAAAATTGCAGTTGATGCTGCAAAAGGTATGTGTAAAGAGAGACATTATCATTACTCTAACTCATGTTCAATTGGAGTTCTACCATGGACAACAAATCTTCTGTCCAACATCGGTTGCCTATGTTTTTTTCGAGTTAATTCCTAGGTTATTCAACTTATGGAATATCCTACTAAAGTCATTTTTGTGGATTCTGTTTCCTCCCAGATACTTGAAAGTTTTATGATGTAGCATTAAGTTTAAGATAGTTTTCAATGTTTTGATTATATAACTTGTTAAGGTTTGGATTACTTGCACAATGGAAGTGAGCCAAGAATCATACACCGTGATGTGAAGAGCAGCAATATACTTCTGGATGCAGACATTAATGCTAAGGTATCTGATTTTGGCCTTTCTAAGCAAGTAACTCAATCAGATGCAACTCATGTTAGCACTGTTGTCAAAGGCACTGCTGGCTATCTTGACCCTGAGTAAGCTTCAAGTCACTCATCATCCAGTTTAATATTTGGTCCTTCCTATCCTTATTCTTAAACCTCTCTTACTACTTGTCCTCAGATACTATTCCACTCGACAGCTCACAGAAAAGAGTGACATATACAGTTTTGGAGTCGTTCTTCTTGAGCTTATTTGTGGCCGAGAACCACTTAGCCATTCAGGGTCTCCAGATTCCTTCAATTTAGTTCTATGGGTAAAAAACAAGTCTTATAATGTTTTACACAGCAAAGCACTTAATTGACTTCCAATAATCCTCATATGTTGTAAACTAATTGTGAAAATTTCAGGCAAAGCCGTACTTGCAGGCTGGTGCATTTGAGATAGTAGATGAGAGCATAAAAGGAACATTTGACACAGAAAGCATGAGAAGGGCGGCTTTAATCGCCTCAAGGTCAGTGGAGAGGGATGCATTGCGAAGGCCGAGTATTGCAGAAGTATTAGCTGAGCTCAAAGATGCATACAGCATTCAACTTTCCTATTTAGCATCTGAAGGACTAGCCAATTGATAAATTAGACCTTCACTACTGCAGATTACAATTTGCAAATATAAGCTTTCTCTATTTGAATTAAATGTTAATGTAACTCTATGACAACTTCTAAATTTGAGTCGGGAATATTTTAAATTATTGATATATATCACATATAAAGGTCTCCTTTCACCTTGGAAGATAGGGGAAGTCATGGATGATTGTTAACAAATAATAACAATGTCCATCCAGGCTTGCATCAGTGCCCACCTCTACATTCTTTACGACTTGTGAACCAATCATAAAAGTAATGAGTAGGCCTAACCAGAAAACTGGTGCCGTAGATATAGGAATAATGCTGTAGAAGCAGCCACTGCATAGGGGAATACAGTCCAGATTCCCTGCACATTGCATAGGAACCATAATTGGATTCTTTGGTAATAAATGCAAATTTGGACAGAGAAAAAGAATAATGTTGTACCACTACAGTAGCAACTGTTGCAACGGCAAATACTGGACGCTCTCTTAGTAAAAATCCAATTGTCAACTGCATTTTGGAGTAAATGAAAAGGAGATAATGCATGAAAACCAGGTAAACTTAAAACTGGTAATCTGTTTCAAACACAAGACTAGTAACCTGAATTGGAAGAGTTATCAAGCCACCACAACAGACACCAGCAAAGAAACAATCTGGTGATATATCCTGCAATATTTATGAGCAGAGAAATGATTGAAACAGTTATAAATATCTGTTTAGCACGGAAGAATGCATTGAGTTGCTAACAATTTCTACATGGGGTAATAGCTACAACATAACACCATCATAAGATTTATGCATATAGACTTAGGGAAATTGGTTGCATTGCATTCTCAGTGATTGAATTTGTAGTCTGAGTAGGCTCAGAAATAGCAAAAGGAAAGTTGTAACTGAGGGTCGCTGGGTCTGTCCATCTTCTGTTCATACAGGACTTTTACACTTAATATATCAATCATTTCTACGATGAAATGAAATCATCAAAACTTCTAAGCATTGTATCATCCCTACATATCTGACACCTTTTGTTCTCTAGGTAATAGTATCATGCCTCAAAGCTTGTAGTACCCAAAAAAGGGAACAAGAAAGTAGCAGAAGATGGTTTAGCTGATCTAACCCTCAGCATGTTAAGAAGGAAAACAGAAAAAAATCACGCACCAGAGTCCCTGCAAGGAAAGCAGTGGGATTTCTTACTCCAAGAGAAAACCGTTCCACTGCATCAGCATAGGAAAAACCACCAGTAAGCAATTATCAAGGTCCAGGAACAAGAAGATCATATTAGTTAGAACAAGTATTTTCCAGAAATATGATAGCTCAACAAGAAACATCAGTTGTTTTAGAATGTGAAGAGAAGTTCAGAGCTTTAGGCATACGGACATAAGGATTAAGACCAGAAGTCCAGAATTATGCAAACACTTGTGATAGCGGATAAATTTTGAGGTAGATCACTAATTTCAGTCTGATATTTCCAGGAAATAGAGAATCTTAACAAATAATTAAATCGTACTCCTCGTGTACCAACATACATATGTGATCATACTGATACTACATTATGATCATAGTAATAAGTGTACACGTATCCAATGGGTTAAAAACCATGAGGTTTCAGGTTCAAATCCCAAAGAAACCAAACACACTAGGTGATTGCACCCCATCTGTCCAGGCCCTGGTGGACAGAGTTACCCAGTACTTGTGCTGGTGGGTGGTGGGAGGTAGCAGATACCCGTGGAATTTAGTCAAGGTTCGTGCAAGCTACCTCAAACACCACAGTTATGTAAAAAAGAAAGAAAAGTGTGAGCATATCAGTGGAAGCAAGGGTTCACAATGATTAAAAGTTCCCACAATGCAAGAGACATTGGATTAAATTCAGCATCTTTGTTGCAACTCACCAAAACCAATGAGATTCCCATGTTTTTGTACAGCGTTTGTAATATCTTTTGCCTTCTGATTTCCGATCCCTAACTACAACCAAATTGACTCTGAATTTCCAAAATCAAGTTCATATACTTTTTAACTAAGGCAAGGAGGCTGAATATTTTAACACGAATAATATGCTTGGTAGCCAAAACAAACCTTTGAGCAAATATCATCGGATGCACCAGATTGCTTAAAAAGCATCCCAAGGTAAAAAGGTATCATATCACTGATGCAAACTCCCCTGAATATTCAGGATCCACAACAATATTAGCATTGTGGAAATCACTGTTTCTACATAATCAATTTTTACTGGCACTGAAGGTGCATAAAATCTTTTAATACAATAGAAGAAAAAGAAGGTTGTGTGTACTGCAGAATCATGAAAGGTTGGTCTGCACATGCATTCATCGAAATTACTCAGAGGACACAGTTTTAACTAACCAGTACACCCAGAGAATAGTGGATGTTATATATGGAGAATTCCTGGAAAAGGAGTTCACTAGTGATTGCCACGTCCCATCTAGAACAAGCATCCGTGCTATAGAGATTCCAACCTACACCATTCGTCAATGAATTTGACTATAATAGTGAACATCATGAAGAAGGATAACAAGCCATTCTAGTGCCTATTCAAATGAATATAATAGTGAACATCATGAATAAGGATAACAAGCCAACTTAGCGCCTATTAAAATCACTATAATAGTGAACATAATGAAGAAGGATAACAAGCCAACTTAGTGCCTATTCATAGACACTAAATAACAGCATAGTTCTAGCTTTTAACTGTTTTTTAGGCAGGGTTCTAGCTTTTTAACTTAATAAACTTTTGAAGCTTCTTTACAACTCTTTTCTCCAGTTGGCCTCTCACTTTTTCCTCACGTCACTAAAGAGAAACTCTGAAGTCTCTAATTTTAAAAGCAATGTCAAATCAAAAGAAAAATAATCGCAGAAAAACTATACTATTTGTAACGTGGCCATGAATCAGAAGACTTGTCAGCAGGGAAGTTCATGAACAGAAGTACCAGCATAGGAGACGGACCCATATATTCAAAGCCTCCTCACTGATAAAAAGTCCAAAACCAGCTGCCATCAGAAGCCAAAAGTAGATCCATCTGAAGAATGAGTAGTACAAGGGCTTAATATCACATCCGCGTATGCTAATAGATAAGAGATCCAGGATATCAATTATATTGAGCATCTATCATAGTAGTCGAATAAAGTATAATAAACATAAGGTTGATCTTGTTTTCTTCTTATATCATGGTGAAAATCCTGATGAATGAAAAGTCGCAAGGATAATTAGTTGCTTACCCTGGAGCATATTCTGGCAGCATGACTCTATAGCCAAAAGCTTTGAAAGAAAAACCAGGAGCAGGTGTAGAAATTGTGGAAGATGATGATCCATCAACCAGAAATTGAATTCCAAAATTTGATCCTTGATTAGGCTGCTTAAGGCCTATAGATAGAAATGTAATAGTAGCAGCTATACCTAATGCAATTGCCAGTTTTGCCAAAAATGAACTTCCTGTGCGAACAGTTTTATCTTCCAGACTACCAGTTAATTCATCAGAAGCCTTGTGCACTATCTCCTCAGCATCCTCCGAATGTCCGGCATCATAATTTTTAGCACTCACAAGCTGAAATTTTTTGATCCTACACTTTGAATAGAGAATTTGCCATCACTTATACAAGGCCCCTTACAGTGTATAGATAAGCTCGGTACACTGAATGTGTTCATTAGCTGTTTAAGGAGAGACCTCTTGAATTTCTAGGTGATACATAAATAAGAATATAATCAAATTACAAATAGCATTAGATAAAACATCTCCATGTACATTCAATTCACAAAATGTACAGGCATTTATGATGTTGTATACACTAGCACTAAGTTGGAAGCGAACATAAAAGGGGCTTACGATTCTACTCTAAGAGTTTAAAGAGTATATATCAACTGCCCCTAGGACGTCAGTCAAGTGGTAAGTGCAGCATGTAACGTGTAGGTTAGGCGCACATCACAGGTTTGACCTGCCGCATACAAAAGTCTGATGATTAAGTGGAAAAGGATAAAGGGAGGACTCTTTAGTTATCTAACGAATTTCAAACCGTGTTCCCCTCAAGGATCTCTCGGTTATTAAAAGAAGTAATATAGATCTGCCTTCTTTCATCAGATCTGCCACTGCTTTTTAGCACAGGTTTATTTTACATAGTCATAGATGTTTTCAACATCTTTATGTTGGTGAACAAAGACGTGGGGACATTTCTATGATTTTACATAGCCTCGAGGTAGTGGTAAGGTCTGCGTATATTCTACCCTCCCCAGACCTCACTTGTGAGATTTCACTGAGTATGTTGTCATTGTTGCTGGTTCCATGCTACTAAATTAGTGATGTCCAATATGACAAAAAAAAAAAATTGCACCGCATATTACAAATATAGATTTTAGAGATATCCAAGCAACCACCTACCCTACCTTACCTTCCCTCCCTTTGGAGTGATGACCAAAAAAATCAAATAACAGTTCATCAAATCCAAATTTGTAGGGTTCCATCCAGAATTTCCGAACTAACAGTAACATAGCCAGTATAGTCCCACAAGTGTATTTGAGGAGGATTGGTTGTACGAAGACCTTATCCCTATCTTTCTAGAGTAGAGAGGTTGTTTCTGAGACCCTTGACTCAGGAAAATTGTTTTTCAGAACACGTTCCAAAGAAATGGAAATAAAAAACACTACTTCCTTTTCCCAATTTATGCAAGACCTTTTTGACTTATAGTACTTTCTACCTAGTTTTCAATATATAAATTAATTCAAAAAATTTGAAGATCCCTGGCCCGAATTCAGGCTCAAAATTAAATTATTTGACTCTCGATATCTTGAATCGTGACACATAAATTGAGAAAAAGAGAGTATGATGAAAATATGGGATATAGTACAAGTAATGCCTAGACTGTAACCGAAATCTCAGACACACACCTTAACTAAACTAAGGTCTTATTACCCCTTGAACTCGTTCTTTTTTTGTAATTTTATACACAAAAAAAAGGGGTTCAAGATAATAAAACATTACTTTAGTTACGTAGTATTTCTTAAATTTCTATTGCAGATTAGGGGATAGTTGTCCCTCAAAATATTGAATAGAGAAAAGTACTCATAGTAAAGATAAACGATAACCAAATTAATGAAACAACAAGTAAACTTCAAAAGACTGAATGAATCCATTTGTATCTATTCCGCTCTGTTAAGGCATTTAGTATTCAATATCATCATATTTAAACCATACTTACACATACAGCAACCATTCTCCTTTATAGGAAGTTAGAAATTGAGTATATTTTAAACTTACAGCAATACCTAGAGTATGAGGAGTAATTGTACTGCCGGAGTTTCCAGTGTCTCCGAGTAAAACGGGCGAGGTGATTAAATTGTGGTAGAGCTGCAGATTGAGATGAAGATAATGAAAGAGAAAGCAATATCTGATTATTACATAAAGTCACCATTATCTCTTCTCTTGTGTAGCGGGTTGTGATTGTGGTGGTAGTTGTTTGTTTACCGGGCGGGAATAAGGAGTATATGCTCTTCGGGATGAGAAAATCTTCAAGTCCTGAAAAATTGACACGTGTTAGATCTGATTAGATGTTTGTGGACCCAATGAATTGATAGTCTCATATGCGTTTGAGATACTCCAAATCACCAATCTCCACTCTTCTGGGAAAAACCAATTTAGATGGTCCACAGCATACTAAGGTCTAGACTTTGACTAGATAGTTTAAAATCGAATCGAAATTGATAAGTTGAATTAATAAAAAATTTATTGATTTATAGTAATTGGATTATTAATTTAGCAATTTTGATAACGGTTTTGATTTTTTTATTATTTGATTATCGATTTTTAATGATTTGAAGTTTTTTCTTAATAGGTTAACTGATAACCCGAAAGTAAATTAAATAATTATATTTATATTATTTTGTATAATAAGTCATCGACTTAGAGTTTAATTCCCTACTTATTTTTTGTTGTCTCAGAGACTTGGTTATTTAACAATGTAAAAGTGTTCTCTTTTGAGCAAGATGTAACTTGTGATCTCAAGTGCATGGTTTATTTGGTTTATCACCTTGTTTCTAAGTGATTTTCAATATTTTTTTTGTGTCAAATCTTAACGATTAAATCGATAACGATCAAAAACCACCAATAACGAATAAGCCAATATGTTAAAGGTTCTATAACGATTTAGCATCTCTACAAACCGATAACCAATAAGTCCACCCAATAAACTTCAAAATCGAACCGAACCGACCGATACATAGGACTACTTGCCAAGGTCTAAAAAGTAGGCAAAATAGTCGGATGAATCATTATATTTGTATGTGTTTATATTTTGAATTCTTCTATTTATTATTTTGTCAACAAAATTTATAAACTTGTTAATACACTATATTTTAAACTCTTTTCTGATAAGATGTTTGTGTGTAATCCAACCTCTTATACATGTCAGAAATTTTTAAAAAAAATATTTAACTTTTGTAAATATGAGAATTTTTTTAAATAATCATGTTCTTCAATCTTCATACATGTTTACAATTTGAGCATCAATTCATGTCAAATCAATGAAATTCTTTATTATTTGACTTGAATTTTCAACTTCTAGCTAGTTCACTAACACAAATCCAACGAGCCACAATCAGAATTTTAAAATTTAAAAAATTAATAAAACTCATTTATTGTTCTTCAAGCTTGAAAATTTCAACTTTTTCAATATTCATCATTACTCTTTAGATTAATGCATATCATACCTTCTCTTTGAATCAAACTAACACAAACAACCATATCAACTTTTGAAATAAAAAAGAACAAGAAATTGAAAAAAATGAGTTTGAAAAAAGAAATTAATGGCAGAATTTTTATTTGTTGCAAAGAGGAGAGTGGATTGAAGAAGAAAAAGAAAGTGTATGACGGGTTATTTTGAAGAAAAGAAAAGAATAGACATGGTGGGTGATCTTGTTGAAGAAGAAAAGAAAAAAACTTAGGTTTCGGGATGGGAAGAGTGGTGTAGAAGAAGAGAAATTGGAGTGGAGTAAATGAAGAAATAAGTTTCTTTTTGTGTAAAAAAATTTATTTTTAAATAAAATATAATGTATTTACGTGCTTCAAAGCGAGTATAGTCACACATTTTTCCAATTCAACAATATTTATGTCACATAGATCCATGGTCAGAGGGTTTCAAAAATCATGTTTTAATAAGTTTAATAATCTAGTTGATAAAGTATAGAGTAAAAAAGTTCAGAATATAAATTCATACAAGTAGAAGAGTGAGTTTATGATATACCATTTCTTCAAAATTTTATGTTGGTATTACTTTTTAATAAAAAATATGTGGATCCTACTTTTTTATTTGCATTGTTATTTCTTTCTCCTACCTTACTTACTTTTTGAATGATATGTGGAGTTTTACTCTCTCATACTTTGTTTCTCATACTTCTTTTTCTCAATTTCTTCTCTTTTAATTTTTTTTTCCTTTCTAATTCTTTGTTGATTTAGATTAGTGTTTTTCAATCATGAATTTAATTTACTCAATTTTTCTTATATTATGTATATCTTTCCTCATTAGATAATTGGCTTGTAGATTTATTTACTTTTAAGAAAAAAACATCAATAATATGTAAAGGAAAAATCTGGGTGAAAATTATAAAGTGAATACTGAAATTTTAGCCTACGAGATGAACATCTAGATAGTCAATTAACTAAGCTATGAAAATTTCTCATTTAATACATATATATACGGCGGCGGCGGCGGATTGATTAGTTTTTTCACTTATCCAACTAACCGAATCAATAAATTAAGTTTTTCGATTTTCTCAATCTTTTAAAAAGTTAGATTACGTTTTACACTAAAATTAATTTCATTTTTACAAAATATGATATAAACGAAAAACTTTCATACAATTATATCTAATTCAATTTATAAAATAGAAAAGGGTCTAAAATACCCTCGAAGTATTGAAAATGATACAAAATTACCCTTCATCCACCTATTGGCTCCAAAATGTCCTTCTCATCCACTTATTGGCTCCAAAATACCCTTGTCATCCACCTATGGGTTCAAAATTGACCACTTATTTAATTGTTTTAAAATTAAACTGTTTAAATATTTTTCAGAATACTTGGAGCTCAATTATTGGTTATAATTTAATTAATTAATATAATTTATAAATCAACCCACTACCCAATCATTAGTAACTAAACACCACCTAATTAATAAACCAATTATAATATCAGAATCGCCATAAACAATACTAAAACAAGACAAAATTATAGAATCCTGAAAATGACATCCAAAATCATTTGAGTCAGAATCAAAGGCCCAATTAAATTTAGGTTGAGCCGCTTATTTAGGAGGAAACTTTCAATAGGATTCTCTTTCAAGCTTTAATTAAAAATTTATGATCACTTTCAATAGAATTCTCTTTCAAGTTTTAATTACAAATTTATGATTAAAGGTAAAGAAATATTACATCCGAATTAATTCATGCACTTTTTTAAATATAATTATATAAATATTTATGATTTATTTTAAAATCTTTAATATATTATTTTGAAGAAAAAACATATCTATGAAGTAACATCACACAATTGAGAGAAAAGAATAAGGAAGATGAACATAGTTAGAGTTTTAAGTTTATCGGTAATTTTTATTTAGACACTTGAAGTCTTGAATGTATGATAATTACTTCAATAGATATTTTCGCTTCAAAATTTTAAGTACACTCATTGCCAGTAGCTTTCCTGTTGTTGCATTAGCAATGTGACAGGTTTAATAATTTGGAGGGGTTTAATTAGTCACAGGTGGGTAGTGGATTGATTAATAAATTATACTAATTAGTTAAATTATAATAAATAGTTGAATGTCACATATTTTTTTAAAAAAATAAATAGTTTAAATTTAAAACCGTTAAATAAGTGGTCAATTTTGAACTCAAAGGTGGATGACAATGGTATTTTGGAGCCAATAGGTGGGTGGGAAGGATATTTTGGAGCCAATAAGCGAATGGGGGGTAATTTTATACCATTTCCAATACTTCGAGCGCATTTTAGGCCCTTTTTGTTTATTAACAAAGGAAAAAAATAATTTGTATATAGAAATATTTATCATATAATGTATTTTTTTCTTCTTTTTTTGCGCATTATCGTTCATATTTTTGTATAAATATAATTGTTTACCAACAAGGGTTCTGGTGGAGTGGTAAATATTCCTTCATCCTTAACCAAGAGGTCTCACGTTTGAGCCTCTGTAGGTATGGAGTCACCTTTGTTCGTGAGAGCTTTATCCCTCCCCTCCTCCAATGTGAGACTTTCCAACACGAATTCAAATTTAGTCAGGCTCTAATGTGGATATCAAACACTGTCTACGCGCATGCGTGTGTTGAATAAAATAATTGTACAAAATAGTGTAGGTATTTACACCATATGTCATAAAAAATCAAATACACTTTATTATAATATTATAATATGATTCAAATCAAAGAAAAAAATGGAGAAAACAAAAAAAATTAAAAATATTATTTTGTGTGGTTTATTAATATACAAATTGATAAAATAGTTCAATTTAATAAGTGAAAAAAATGATCAATCAGACTTGAATACTTATACCAAATGAGGATATTAATAATATAGTTGATTGTTTATCTAAATTTTATTTAGTCCGTCAGTAAAAATTTTATTCTCATTTTCTTCTATATTATCAATATAATTTGAAAAATAAAAATAATATACCTGCTAATTATCAAATGAAAAGATAAATATATTAATAAAGTTCATCTAAAAATTTAGAGTAAAGAAGAATTTTTATTTTTTATAAAGGGAAAAAATGGAGAATAGAACAATTGTGGAGTAAAATGTAAGGGAAAGAGAATACCTATGTAAAATAAGAATAACAGGCCTGACACAACTTTTTATTCATAAAAATTAAGTAAAGATAAGAAAGAGAAATAATAATGAAATAAAAAGTAGGATCCACACATTTTTTATTAAAAAGTAATCCTTCATCCACTATGTTTGTGCCTCTACCACCATATAAGATTCAATCAAAGGAAATGCAACTTTTGAGTTAGATTTTAAATTTGAAAAAAAAAAACTAACAATCTTTTTTAATCGCTTGTTTTTGGATATGCGTGTTCCGTGAGAATTTTCATAGATTTGTTGGAAGAGTTAAAATTCTATGAAAATATGTAATGAGTAATAAAATGCAATAATTACTAATCCAGTAAATCTTTAAAATATGGCAAAAAGAACCAAATAAAGAGCGTATATTAATGTTTAAAATCAACTTCTTTTAAGCAATCACTTGTAAGTTTTGCATTTTGGTTAGTGGTCAGGAAACATTCAATAAAGCCACAAATGACGTATCAATCAGAAGTTCATAGGAAATTAAATTTAACAAGTCTTACAGATAGAAAACACAAAAAAATATTATGTACTAATCCTTCTTAAGACTTTAATCATACATTATAGATATAAATAGAAATACAGAAATAGTACATAATTTTTGAGTTTTTGCCGCCTCCTTTTATCATAGCC